ACATTTGTGAGGTTTGTCTTCGGCCATCAGTGCCCTTGGACACATACGAGATGCTCACAAAGTGGCACTTACTTGGTCCTTAAGACATATTTGTCTTACTGCTCATCAACAGGCCTTTGGGGAAAAACTTCGCCCATTGCTGAAAAGTGCTGCAATCAAATATATGTACTTTATCACAGCAATGGCAGAGAAAATGCACTACCTGCCTCTATTCTACCTCAGGATGCTGATTGTTGGCTGCCCCCCTTACCACCAATTTGGGGTTCTAATTCTGTAAGGTTCTTTCAGCTCTTTGTTCTGCAATGAAGTACTGCGAATTTCCTTTCTGTTGTTCTACTGCCACATCCAATAGCTCATAAGTTACTTTAAAAAGGTAAGACAAGACAAATAATTACTCATATCTGGATGAAAGTGTAACAATGTATTACAAAAATAATAGTTTGATTCCGCCTCTTTATATTCCCCCCCTATATTGACTGCCAGAAACTGATTTGCTAGTTTGGAAGTGAGATAAAATCAAACTCTTTTTACCTTCAGATTTAATGAAAGCCTCTTTCTTTTCTCTTGTATTGCTTCTGTACTGATAAGAGTCTTCGTCTAAGCTTTCCTTTTAAAAGCACAGATGTAAAGCTTCTGGCGCACCTGATATTCTCTTTTATGTAGAAATTTATCCATCTGAATAGGCATGAAAATTACTATTTAGTTTTGTTATCTTAATTTATTTCATTTTAGTCACTGCATTTCCTTATTTTTACAGTTCTTGGCAGGATCCAAATAACAAGAGAATCCCATTATTAATTCTTTAACAGTGATATAGGTGTTCCTTCTCTTACATAAATGAGTCACCTTTTCTGAAACAGGTAGTTTATTACTGGCAGCAGGTGAAAAGTCAATGTCTTTATAGTGAAAAAGGCATCTAAGTTCAACTGTAAAATACGCTATAGCTGAGAAACAGTATTTAATTTCATTATTAAACCTGTACATGCCTTTGGAAGCTGGACAATTTTAGCTGCCTCTTCTTAGCTGCTTGGGTATCCAAACTTGTGAGAAATCCAATGTATAGTCCTGTGGCACCGAAAATTGTTGATTTATTTTTCTAATACAAACTTTTCCTGTTAGCTTGAATTCACTTGAACATAATTTGTTCCTTAGGAAAGGTCTTTGCATTTCCCATCTGGACTGATGATGATGATGGCTGCTAGATTTCCTTACAATCAAACTACTTTAGCCTATCCTACGTATGCTATGCGATGGAGCTTAGAGTTTGTCCTGCGACAGCCTGCAGGATCTCCTGCTGTTCAGCTTCTGAGCCAGGGCTGACATCAGGATTTCTGTCTGTAGGCTTGGCCCATCAGTATGGGCTGGAGGGTCTGTCTCACCTTCTGAAAGCCAGCATGCCTCCTTCAGGGAGAAACCACAGATGGCATCAGCTCCTCCGGACCGTGTGCCGGAGGGGCAACGATCCCAGCAGGCATCGTGTTCAGCAGAGCTAGGAGGATGCAGTTAATTCCTGCAGTGAGGCAGGTGAAAATGAAAGTCATCGTAAAAAGGGGAGAAACATCTGTGGCATTCTTTAAAAGAAGAGGAGAAACATGTCCGAGCAGTACAGTCTCTGGAAGAGCGCTGAACCACAAAGGACTCATAAGTCCACGGTAAATCAAGGCAGAGAATTGAGTTCACAGGTGGTTTTTGTTCTGAGTAACTGTGAAAACCTCTTGATGCATCTAAACAGAGAGGTGATACATTTATAAATACTTTCCTACTGCTGAAGGTGTTTTTTTGTGGCATATATAATGTATTAAACTAAAAGGTTAAACCAAAAACTTGAATAGTGAAGCTGTGAGGAAAATGTACTTACGCTCATGGGAATTTGAAGGGTTTGCTGTTGGTGTAGAGACCCGGCATTTGGCTTGGAGCCATCGCGGAGAGGGCATTGCTGAAGACCCTGGGCTAAGAAAGCGTGCACAGAGCAGCAGACCTCCAACTGTGGTAGCTGAGGGGCCATGGCATGTTCTCCAGTTTGATTTATTTAATTTAAGGACCGTCAGGCAAATATTGTTGCCAAGAAATAGCCCAGAATGAGAAGAAGAGGTGCTGTACACTCCCCCTCAGGCATACGGCAGCTTTTAAGGAAGTGGAGCCAATGTTTCACCGAAAGATGGCAAATGTTTTTTTCTTACAAAAAGGAATTGCAGTAGGTTTGCAGTTTTGTTTTTAGATTCTATTCTACGCAAGAGACTCCAGTAGAAGAGAGAGTAGGATGGATCTCTACAACAGCAGCTGAGAATTATTCATTAACCTCTAAACTTAACCTGTTGCTTTTACATAGGTTTGAGACAGGAAATCCTCTAACGCCATGTCCAGTGTATGCTGCCGTATTTGCTCTAAATTGGTATTGCTGAATGACTAAAATATGACGGTCGATTCCAAAATTGTGTGGATTCTTCAAGGAATTCTTAAATCAAAGCAGACTCGGAGTTTCTTTTAAATATGGCAAAATAGTCATGGGTTTTGTCATTCCTACACCTAATGCATGAATTTCTTTAACAAACGCATTGCCAAACCTGCCTCATTCAAAAAAGGGATTCACAGGAAAGGGATTTTTATTTTTAGCTTTCAGGGAATACAAGGAGCTGGCAACCAAAATAGCAGCAGATGGGAATCCTGTTGTCTCTGCTCAGGAAGAACCTATAAGGGCCTTGGGCCATCCTTCCATCTCAGCAAATCCTAACTTCAGCTTTCAGTCACATTTTGGAATATGTGATCACCTTCAAATAGTTTCATAAAAAATCAAGCAAACTGGGTAGAACATGCATGGTTGCCCAGGGAGGTTGTGGATTCTCCTCCTCTGGAGATATTCAAGACCCACCTGGACAAGGTCCTGTGCAGCCTGCTCTAGGTGAACCTGCTTCTGCAGTGGGGTTGGACTAGATGACCCACAGAGGTCCCTTCCAACCCTGAACATTCTGTGATTCTGTGATTCTGTGATTAAGGCTGTTTCCCCCTCTACTAGCAACTGTTTCTTCAGGAAGAGTAAATCAACTTCCAAACAGAAAATAAGCTGGAACGATGTTTCAAGAATTTTACCTGTCTCTTTCTGCAGCTGGGCAGCAGCAGATGTGCCGGATGGAGGATGCTCTGGGCAGCCTGTGAAGACTGGGCAGATACCACATTCTGATAGCCAGTTACTGCCGCGTCCCTCCCGGTGAAACTGTAAAGTTCTCCTCTTCACTGAGAAGTGAAATGCAGTGAAAACAGTGATGGCAGTGCCTAGGAGGACTCAAAATAAATGGCTTTGGTCTGCAACCAAGCCTTCCTGACAATAACAGAACAGGGCTGTCAGTAGCCTCGTCCGTCTTGCTCCCAAATCCCGCCGCACTGGAAGGGATCTGCCTTTTCTCAGTCGAGTACCTGCTGGTGTTAGCCACTGAACAGTTCCGTTCGCTGCATCCCTGTGTTTTGCTGGCAGCATTTCAGTGTCCAGCCTGTCCTCTCCGTAAAACCTCTGGGAATCCTGTGAAAACTGCAAGACGGCAGCTTTTACCACAAGGGCCCGCGGCACCTGTGAACATCCCACAGTCCCTGAATTCCCCACCTCCCCTCAATTTCTTCAAGCTCCTGGAATACCACCTTGATGAAGGGAGGCCTCCATCTCTATTTTAGCTGGTTTGTGTCTTCCCTTCTTTATCCACTAATTCCTGGCATTCCTTTGAATTTTCTCCCATGCCGATGCCTCAGTTGCCATTTCTGAGGACTATCCACCGTGGCCCCAAGATCTTTTACTTGAGTGGCAATAGCTCATCATCGCACAGGCAGTTAGGGCTGTCCTTCTCCCTGCCCCGAGCACGGCTTTGTGCTTATTGCTACAGCGTGTCACCTGCCGGTTTGTCACCTGGCGCCATAACCATCCCACGGCCGCTTCTCGCAGCCAGCGTTCAGCCTGCCGACCCAGAACAACCCCATGGGTCACCAAAACTGCACCATTTCATTGCTCACTCCCTTTTCCTGGAAGCAGCCTGAAACAGGCTGCAGAAAGGATGCTGCTGGCAGGTGAAGTGTGAGCAAGCGGAGAGTCATAGAATCATGGCATGGTAAGGGTTGGAAGGGACCTTAAAGATCATCTGGTTCCAACCCCCCTGCTGTGAGCAGGGACACCTTCCACTAGATCATTCGTTTAGAGCCGTTCCCCTTGTCCTATCACTGCACACCCTTCTGAAAAGCCCCTCTCCATCCTTCCTGTAGGCCCCCTTCAAGTACTGGAAGGCTGCTATAAGGTCTCCCCGCAGCCTTCTCTTCTCCAGGCTGAACAGCCTGTCCTCACAGGAGAGGTGCTCCAGCCCTCGGACCATGTTCGTGGCCGCCTATGGAGTCGTCGGTGTGTTCCTGTCCCCAACGGGCTCTCCCTCAGGCAGCGCAGAGATGGTGCAGCTTTTCACCTCCTCGCAGCCAGGATTATCCCCGACACCCCGGGCCTGGGAAGGAGGGGGACGGGGACGGGGGCGGCTC